CACCGTGTTGGTCAGGCTGGTCTCGAACTCCTGACCTCATGATCCACCTGCCTTGGCTTCTTAAAGTGCTAGGATTACAGGCGTGAGCCACCATGCCCAGCTCCAGTTGTGAAGTCAGGTATGGGTGAGAGCTATGAGTAAAACCACTGTCATGGGGCAGACTGCCAAGGAGGCTGTTTCAGAGCAGTCAGGAAAGGTCTCTGAGAGGAGGTGACATTCCACAGAGCCCTGAAGGAGAGAAGGGAAGGAGCCACGCTGCTCCCTGTTGAAAGAGCCTTCTGGCTGGGTGCAGTGGTTCATGTCTTCAATTCCAGTGCTTTGGGAGGCCAAGGCAGGTGGATCATGAGGTCAGGAGTTGGAGACCAGACTGACCAACATGGTGAAACCCCATCTCTACGAAAAATACAGAAATTAGCTGGGCGTAGTGGTGGGCACCTGTAATCCCAGCTACTTGGGGGAGGCTGAGGCAGGAGAATCACTTGAACCTGGGAGGTGGAGGCTGCAGTAAGCCAAGATCGTGCCATCGCACTCCAGCCTGGTGATGGAGTGAGACTCTATCTCAAAATAAATAAGTAAATAATAATGGTCCCAAAGCACAAGAGTAGTGATGTTAGCAAGTTGTTGTAATAGTTCTGTTTTTACTTTTTGAGATGGGGTCTCACTCTGTTACCCAGGCTGGAGTGCCGTGGCACGATCCCGGCTCACTGCAACCTCCGCTCTGGGGCTCAAGTGATTCTCCCACCTCAGCCTCCTAAGTAGCTGGAACTACAGGTGGGAGCCACCACGGGCTAATTATTTGTGTTTTTGGTAGAGATGGGGCTTCACTCTGTTGGCCAGGCTGGTCTTGAACTCCTGAGTTCAAGCGATCCGCCCACCTTGGCCTCCAAAAGTGCTGGGATTACAGGTGGGAGCCATGGTTCCTGGCCCTGTTTTATTATTGTTAATCTGTTACTGTGCCTAATTCATAAACTAAGCTGTCTTATAGGTGTGTACGTATAGACAAAAACAGTGTATCTAGGGTTCTGGACTATCCGTGGTTTCATACTTCCACTGGGGTCTTGGAGTCCACCCTCGTGGCTTAGGGGGGACTACTGGACCTGTTCACTCCTGCCATATATGGAAAAGGGAATATGTTATGCCAGAACTAGGAATCCCATTGTTACATCTTAAAGGCCCAGAACCTATTTTTGCACAATACAAAACAAAATAGCATGTTCGTGTGTATTCGCAAAAGGAACATCCCACTTGGAATTTCATGAACTGGGGTTGACTCCTGGGCCAGTCACTGAGTCATTGACCTCAGGCAACTCACTTCATTTCTGTGACTCTGTTTCTTCCTGTGAAGTGGGAGTATTCATAATTCCCTACCATATCTGGCTGTCATGTAAGGATTTCTTTTTTTTTCTTTCTTTTCTTTTGAGACGGAGTCTCGTGTCGGCCAGGCTGGAGTGCAATGGCTCCGTCTCGGCTCACTGCAACCTCCGCCTCCTGGGTTCAAGTGATTCTCCTGCCTCAGCCTCCCGCATAGCTGGGATTACTGGCGTCTGCCACCCAGACCCAGCTAATTTTTGTATTTTTAGTAGAGATGGGGTTTCATCATGTTGGCCAGGCTGGTCTCGAACTCCTGACCTTGTGATCTGCCCACTTCAGCCTCCCAAAGTGCTGGGATTACAGGCATGAGGCATCTCACCCAGCCAAGGATTTCTTAATCACTTCTAGACTAAAGCCTCTGAAAACTACATACAGCATAGGATGTATTATTATTATTATTATTATTATTATTATTATTTTTTGAGACGGAGTTTCGCTCATGTTACCCAGGCTGGAGTGCAATGGCGCGATCTCGGCTCACCGCAACCTCCGCCTCCTGGGTTCAAGCAATTCTCCTGCCTCAGCCTCCCAAGTAGCTGGGACTACAGGCGTGCACCACCATGCCCAGCTAATTTTTGTATTTTTGGTAGAGACGGGGTTTCACCATGTTGACCAGGACGGTCTCGATCTCTTGACCTCGTGATCCACCCGCCTCGGCCTCCCAAAGTGCTGGGATTATAGGCGTGAGCCACCGCGCCCGGCCTAGGATGTATTATTATAAAAGCAGACACAGAGGGCAGGCAGTTATCCTAAAAAGAGAAATAATGTAATGGTTAGTCTGGATGTTTAAGAATAAAATGCTGGGGAGAAAATGGTGAAAAAAGTGAAGGAAGAGCCTTTCAGGCATGTGAAACAGCAAGCGCAAAGGCTGGGGCGTGAGAGCTTGATGGGTTTGAGAAACGGTGAGGTGGCGCGTTGGCTGGACTGCAGTGAGCAAGGGGGCGTGGCAGAGATGAAGTCATGTGGACCTGGGGAGATATTTGGATTTTATACAAAGGACAATAGGGGCTGGGCACGGTGACTCACGCCTGTAATCCCAGCACTTTAGGAGGCCAAGGAAGGCGGATCACCTGAGGTCAGGGGTTCAAGACCAGCTTGACCAATATGGTGAAACCCCATCTGTACTAAAAAAATACAAAAATTAGCTGGGCTTGGTGGCAGGTGCCTGTAATCCCAGCTACTTGGGAGGCTGAGGCAGGAGAATTGCTTGAACCTGGGAAATGGAGGCTGCAGTGAGCCAGGATCTTGCCACTGTACTCCAGCCTGGGTGACAGAGCAAGACTCTGTCTCAAAAAGAAGGTGGGGGGGCAATAGGGAGCCATTGAAGGTGCTTCAGCTGTGGGGGGCGGATATGACTTGCATTTTAAGATCCATCTAGCTGTCAGGTGGTGAATGGATTCATCGAAGGGCTGCAGGAGGGCAGGGAAGAGGACAAACGAGGACTTAGATGAGGATGGTGTGGGGGAGGCAGGGGTGGGGAGAGGCCTGCTGTCCAGTGGAACTTTCTGCAGTGATGGAAATGCTGTGCATCTGCACCGACCATTGCATTAGCCACGAGCCCCGGGTGGCGATGAATCACCTGAAATGTAGCTCATGCAACTGAGGAGCTGAATGCTTCATGTTAATTCATCAAGTTAATTAATGGGCTGGGCCACCCTGTTGGGCAGCACAGATCTAAGAAGATGTGGACAGTGATTACCAAGAAGGGACAGTTGGGGACAGAAAAGGAGCTGGAAGAGCATCCCAGCCAGTTTCCCAGTGTCTTACAAGGACATCTCTCACTTTGTCGGGGGTGGTGGTCGGGTCTGAGCTCTTGCTCCGCCCCAATGTCAGGGGACACTGGTTGAGGGATGGCAACAACGGCCCTCCTGACCCAGTCGTCGCTGTCCTGGTGGCTTCTGTTCACTGTACACTGTTATGGCCCCCATGTGTGGGGTGCCTTGGCTCGTGACAGCCCTGTGAGGTACATTTTATGATTTTCATGTTCCAGGTGGGGAATCTGGGGTTCCCACTGCTGTCCATCTAAGTCAAGGTCACACAGCTGGTGGGGGCAGAGCTGGGACTGGAACACATGTCTCATCTGCCTCTAGTGACTACACCCTTAAACACTGTTCCGTGGTGGAGCTGGCTAGGAACTTTTGGAAGTCCCTGGGTTGAGGGGGAGCCAGAGGGAAGAGGGTGTCTGTGTCGTCACCAGCAAGCAGGCAGGAGCAAACATGGCCTGGTGGTGCTCTGTGGAGAGGCCACTTGTCCTGAGAGGTATTGGCAGGGAAGGAGCTGAGGGCAGGCTGGTGCCACCCAGCACCTGTAGCAGCTGGGGACGGGACAGGGGGATTCCTGGGCCTCCAACCTTCCTTGTTTAGTGGAAGGAAGTCAAGGGGCGGGGGCTGGTCACCAATGAGCCTGAAAGGCTCTCAGGTCTCACTGTGGGGATTTTTACAAAATACCCAGGCTTGATGGCTATGTGCAGCATAGAACCCTGGGCTGGCTCCTCAAATGGGAAAGAAAATCAAGGGCGATATTGGTGAAATGGGCAAAATCTGAATATGGCCTGTGGATTGGATTAGAATGCAGAGTCTGTGTGGTTTCCTGGGCTTGGGGCAGGTGAGAGAATGTCCTTGTTCTCAGCAGACAGGCGCTGAGCTAAGGGGTGAAGAGGCAGAACGTCTGCAGCGACCGTGCCCTGGTAGGGAGGGACAGAAGCGTCTGTCTCTGGGTAGAGCCAGAGGGGCCGATGCCAGCAGGCGGTGAATCAGTCAGAGTTCTTCGCACTTTGTTGCAATTCTACTGTAAGTTTGAAACTGTCAATATAAAAAAGTTACAAAGAATTGTTTATAAAAAAGAAAACCCAACCAAGCTCAAGGCTTAAGCCTAGATCCCTGTTCAGATTCAGCCCGCGCTGGGGCGGGGCCAGGCGTCAGGATTAAGGTATCCCCCCAGAATGTGCTGTGTGGGTCTGGGTGGGAAGGGCACTTGATGCTGTTCCCAGCAACCCACCACCCTCCTCCTAGTGCTTGCAAGAATGGACAGGGAACTCAGCCGACTATATCAGAACCAAAGAAGCTGGAGGCTGAAGCCAGACACCAGCCTCTGGGGACCTGGGGACACTGTGAACCCACCAGCCCCGCAGGTCTGTATCTTTGGTTAGGGGAGGGTTCCAGTCTTTGCTCTACTTGAGTGTAGGTCAGGGGGATCATACTGGCTGCCGGCATCATCGAGCGTTAGCAGTTTCTCCAGCCCCAGCCCTAGAATCAGGCCCAGCTCTCAGCACTGCGTGGGTTTGATCTCAAGGGTTCTTTGCCACCATCCAGAACCCAGGGGTTGCCACCCACAGGTTTTGTTGTTGTTAAGAGACAGAGTCTCGGTCTGTCACTCATGCTGGAGTGCAGTAATGCGATCACGGCTCACTACAGCCTCAAACTCCTGGGCTCAAACGATCCTCCAGCCTCAGCCTCCCAAGTAGCTGGGACCACAGGCCTGTGACACCACTCCCGGTTTGTTGCCCATTATGTAGATGAGGAAATTGAGGCCCTAAGGCAGGATCACTTGCCTGGCCCCTCCCCCTTCTCCCATCAGAGTCCAGACAGGGAGGGGACGTCCCCTGACCCCCACCTGCTCTCTGCTTTCAGGGCAAGAAGACTATGACCGGCTGCGGCCCCTGTCCTACCAGAACACCCACCTCGTGCTCATCTGCTATGATGTCATGAACCCCACCAGCTATGACAACGTCCTCATCAAGGTGAGGCCCGCCTCCAGGGTGGTGGCCCCAGACCTGGGCCCAGCGCAATTCTGATCCCCTGCCTTCTCCCTGCACAGTGGTTCCCTGAGGTCACGCATTTCTGCCGTGGGACCCCCATGGTGCTCATCGGCTGCAAGACGGACCTGAGGAAGGACAAGGAGCAGCTGCGGAAGCTCCGGGCCGCCCAGCTGGAGCCCATCACCTACATGCAGGTGGGCCAGAGGCCAAGATTCCGTGACCTCCAAAGCCTCCCGGACCTTTGGCCTCTGCACCTGGAGTGTCTTAGCGGCCTTTTGGGGAGCTGAGGGAAGCAGGATTCTAAGAGTGATCATTTTTTTTTTTGAGATGGAGTCTTGCTCTTGTCACCCAGGCTGGAGTGCAGTGGTTTGATCTTAGCTCACTGCAACCTCAGCCTTCTGGGTTCAAGCAATTCTCCTGCCTCAGTCTACTGAGTAGCTGGGACTACAGGCACCTGCTACCACACCCAGCTCATTTTTGTATTTTTAGTAGAGAGGGGGGTTTCACTATGTTGGTCAGGCTGGTTTCGAACTCCTGACCTCAACTGGTCTGCCCACCTCGGCCTCCCAAAGTGCTGCGATTATAGGCATGAGCCAATGTAGCCGACCAAGAATGACAATTTTTAAATGCTAGTATTGGTGGCCTGTGGACCTGAGCACTTTACATGACTGCTGTCAATCCTCAGGACTCAGAGGCAGGTGCTGTTCACTTCCTCCATTACAGGGGAGAAACAGGCCCAGAGGCTAAGCAGCTTACTTGAGGCCACATAGCTAGCCAGAAGTGGAGCCAGGATCTGGTCCCATCCGCTGGGCTCCACAGTCTGTGCTCTGAGCCACTGTCCTGTCCTGTCCGCCCTTGTTTGAAAGTAGGCATCCCCTTCACAGGCCAATCAACCATTCAACTCTTTAGATGAGGCATGAGGGAACAAACAGGACAGAAGGAATGCAAAGGCAACAAGCACCTTTCGCAAGAAGTAGAAACCATTAATGAGGGCAAATTCATTTGCCTAAATGGTAGAGAGGTGGCTGCAAGTCCTGTCTGGAGGCCTCCACCTCTTCTCACAGGCCTGGGAGACACACGTGGGGAACCCACCCGGCCTCAAGGTTCAGCCCCTCCCTGCCTGGAGCTGGAGAGAGGGCAGCGTGGGGCCTGGACAGGGCTTTTTCCCTTCTGGGGGCTGTACTGCACTGGCCCTCCATTCCACCACGCACGCTGAGGGCCAGCTGGGATGGAGGAGAGACACCAGCCCAAACCAAGGCCTCCACCCCTGGAGAGTCCCCAGAGCCAGCCCCAAACCCACGAGGTGGTGTCAGGAGACCTCCAGGGGCCCCTCAGCTAACACTGGCTCCTCCCCTGACCCAGGGCCTGAGCGCCTGTGAACAGATCCGAGCTGCTCTCTACCTGGAATGTTCTGCCAAGTTTCGGGAGAATGTGGAGGACGTCTTCCGGGAGGCCGCCAAGGTGGCTCTCAGTGCTCTAAAGAAGACACAGCGGCAGAAGAAGCGCCGGCTCTGCCTGCTGCTGTGACCCAGGGCAGTTGGCCCTCGAGACAGCACTGACAGGGCCCGGGACCCCAGGGGCCAACTGCACTGGGAGGCTGCCCCATCCCCACCCTCCAGCTCCTGGTGTCTGGGGCCTGTGGCTAGACTCTTGGAACATTCAGGAACTCTATCCTTTCCTGGCTGGGGCTCTGACCACAAACTCCCCTCCAGGCTCCCCCTGGGGTGCAGTGGTGATGTGGGTACAGGAGCCAGTGTCTGTCCTCAGGACTCAAAGTGCCCTCATCACAGCTGCCCCCGCCACAAGGGTCTCCTCAGTGCAGACCCAAGTTATGCTTGGAATGAACAGTCCATCTGGTGGTGGGTAAATGTGGACCTGGCACTATTCCACATGGGCGCCCAGGCCCGCCACTCCTATGTCCCTGCCTCCCTGGGCTCTGGAGATAGGCACCGCTGTATCCTCCAGCTCCTTCCTTCCTCCCCCAGGAACTCGGGGGCCACCACAGGGGCCGGGCCTATCAGGAGAACAGTCTGCAGCCCGGTGGCAGGGCTGGCACCAACCCCTCCCATCTCCATTCCACATGGAAGACGTCAACCTTCAGCTTGGCCTGTGTCTTCGGAGAGCTGGGAGCATGTGCCCACGGGGCAGACAAAATAGCCTCTCAGATGTTAAAAGTATACCCTGGACCCCCCATCTGACCACCCCCTCGAAGTCTCATCCAATGCCCCCACTGTCAGGGACTCAGGATGGGAAGAGCCATCGGCTCCCCACGTCGTGAGCTAGTTTTTTGTGGAGTTTCCCCCCACTGGCAGGACAGGACCGGCCCATTTAACTATCAATCATCAAGCTCCCAACCTGCTGTTCCTCAAGCCTCGGTTCTACCAGCCTGTGGAGTCCAGGAGGCAAGACATCCCAGCCTCCTTTGAGAACTAAGAGAATCAACTCCCAGCCCGCGTGGGACAGTTTCAGAGCCGGTTCACAGACTGCCTGTGTCACCAACAGCCAGATACCTAATCCCTAAGCCTCCTTTGAAAAGGTCTGGGGTCGAGGGTCCAGTTTTCTTGGGGGCAGGGAATGGAGTCTCGCTGTTGCCCAGGCTGGAGTGCGGTGGTGTCCTCTTGGCTCACTGAAACCTCCACTTCCCGGGGTTTAAGCAGTTCTCCTGCCTCAGGCTCCTGAGTAGCTGGGATCACACGCACATACCACCATGCCTGGCTGATTTTTGTATTTTCATTACAGATGGGGTTTCACCATGTTGGTCAGGCTGGTCTTGAACTCCTGACATGATCTACCCACCTCAGGCTCCCAAAGTGCTGGGATTACAGGCATGAACCACCTCGCAGGACTTAAGCATTCCAGGGGATTTTGGTGCCCAACAGGGGTCGCAAGCTGCTCGGCTCTGGAGTGCACCTAGGAATTAGTGTCGTCTGAGATGGGATGCAGCTCCTGTTCTTGCTGGTATCTCCTGCCTCAGCCCCCTAGCCCAGTGCTGAGGCATCAGCTAAGCCTGAGCTTCCAAGAAGTCAGGTCACCAAGGGAAGAAGCCTTCTGAGACCCACCTTACCCAGGTTCCCAAGGCCCTGCCATCCCCTGGGGAATCAACCAAGGAGCTCTTGTTCTCAAAGAACCCAAGGCCCCGTGGACAAACAATGGTCTAAGGTAGAGGTCTGCAAACTACAGCCTATGGGCCACATCTGGCCACAGCCTGATTTGTAAATAAAGTTTTATTGGAACACAGCCACGCCTATTCCTTTGTGCATTGTCTTGTGCTCTGTGACTGCAGGCAAGAGTAGCTGCCACATAGACCCCCTGGCCCATAAAGCTTAAAATAGTTGCCATCTGCCTTTACAGGCAGCTAGCTGACTCCTAATCTAGGGCAAAGGCAGGCACCTAAAAAGGGCCAGAAAGGAGACCAGAACAAAGGACAAGGCATACAGGAGTAGCGGGGCCTGTGGTGACTGGGGAGCAGGCGCCCCCTGCCATGGGAATGTTGCCAGGTCCATTTTTCTAGGGAAAGCAGAAATCTGGATTTGTATGTGGAATCTCACTGTGGGGGAGGGGAAATCTCATTTTAAAAATGTAGTCAGGCCAGGCACAGTGGCTCACGCCTGTAATCTCAGCACTTTGGAAGGCCAAGAGAGGAGGATCACTTGAGCCCATGAGTTGGAGACCAGCCTGGGCAACATAGCGACACCCCATCTCTACTAAAAATATTAAAAAGTAGCAGGGTGGCGGGTGTCTTGGCTCACACTATAATCCCAGCACTTTGGGAGGCTGAGGCAGGCGGATCACAAGTCTATAGATCGAGACCATCCTGGCCAATATGGTGAAACCCCATCTCTACCAAAAATACAAAAATTAGCTGGGTGTGGTGGCTGGCACCTGTGGTCCCAGATACTTGGGAGGCTGAGGCAAGAGAATCACTTGAACCCAGAAGGCGGAGGTTGCAGTGAGCCGAGATTGCGCCACTGCACTCCAGCCTGGGCGACAGAGCGAGACTGTCTC